AATAGGGGTGGGGACGAAATAATAGTCTTCTAGGCTTATAATATAGTTATCGGGGCTATTACTTCTTCCTAAGCTACTAAAGCTATTAAAGCCTCCGCTGAATCTTTTAAATCCTTCGAATCCTCTAAATCCGCCGAACCCTCCAAATCTACCAAATTTTCCGCCTATTCCGGGCTTTTAATTAATAGGTTCGCCGGCTCCTCCTATACTACTAACGCCGAACCTACTAATATTAATACCGCTAATAGCAGCTCCTCCTATACTACTACTATTAATATAGTCCGTACTACTAATATTATATCCTCTAATTCCTCCCTTAGAGCTACCCTTTTTAATAATATATATTTCTAATTCGTCGCTATTATTATTTATATACGTAAAGAATTTAGGGTTTTTAATAGTTACTTCAATTAATTTAGTTATACCGAATTAAACTTCGATCTAGGTATTTCTAAACTTCTATTTAGTATATTCGAATTCCTTATATAGGATCTTAGTTTAATTAATATTAGTTAAAGCCTCTTTAAAATTAATATTTATTTCCTCAAAGGTGTCGTTCTAGGTTTTAAATGCGGTTAAAATATTAGTATATTATTATTCGGTTATAGTAATATTACGATTTTTCTAATCTACAATAGTACATAGGGAGTTATTATTGGATTAGAGGAACGAGATATTCCTTTATAAGGTTATATTCTTTCTAACGACGTTGTTATACTTTAATTACTATTAATTAATTTAAGCAATATATTAGGTTTTAAAGACTTCCAAAATAGTAATATACATTTTTAAATCCTCTACCTCTTTCTTGACTACTATTATTGCAGCATCCTTAACCTTATTAATTATATAAACCTTATTATTAAAATCCTTAAATTTAATATCGAAATAGTAGAGTAGCTTTATTACTTCTATAAAATCTCTTACTTTTTTAATAAAATTACTAAAGACTAAAAGGCTAATTACCTCCTCCTTACAAATAAATTACAACTAGTTAAAGCCTTGTAATAATATTAGGAATACTTTATGTAGGTTAATTTAACCCTATTGGGCTTGGGTACTAGAATTAAATATTTTATTATAATTTTAACTAATAATAATTAAAAAAAGAGAATATCACCTTACTACGATAATTGTATTTATAATATTAATACTATTCGTAGTATTTAATTAAAATTCTTGCTTCGTATCGACCGCTGTCGGATATATTTTAATTAATTGCTTCCGACCGTACTAGTCGGTTGAATATAATCTTGCGAAGACCGGATTACTATAGTAGTCTTTTACTACTCTTAGTCTCTCTAAGATTATTTATTGCGCGTTAATGTAATGGTTAGGTATAATAAAGTATTACGGGGCGCGAGCAAACACTAAACTAAGACTTTAATTATTATACGAAGAATAGGAAGAGAATTCTATATACGTACAAGAACTATATAGGGCACGCTATAGAGCCCAGTACTCGGACTACACAGCGCGCGTATATATAACTACTATACTACACTTAGACAGTTGTATGCAAGCTAGCTATACTACTGCAGTGTAGCACCTATCTATATATAGGAATATGGCAGCAATGCCTATAACAGTTGGATCTATATATTTGCTTGGTCCGTGCGCCCAATTAAAAAACCTTTTTTCAATTATACCCTTCTAGTATAGTCTTCTCTTACTCTCTTTATTAAATATAGTATTTCAACTATTATACAACTACTGGCTATGTAATAGTCTAGCAGACCCGTTATAACTATTAGAAAAGGGAAAGTGAGATGCCTTTATATATTTAAATTAAGGGTAAAAGTGGGTAAAATTGGGTAGAATAAGTGTAGAATCTACTGGATTTAACCTCTTTAATAATAGCTTTAGAGGATTAAAAGTAGATTTAAGCTAAGATTAGAGTAGAAAAAATGCCTTTGTGTGTAAGAAAGTTACCAATTTTGCTCTTAGTTTACTTTTCCTCTACTCTTTAACTCTTTAAGCTAATAAGTACCTCTAAGCTCCCTTAATTAGACTAAGAGGGTAAAGAACTAAGCTAACAAACTTTCTAGTATTAGATTGTATATACAATAATAAAGTTTATCGAAGAACTTATATATTAGTTTTAGAAAGTTTGTTAGTCTCTTACTTACCCTACATATTCTTATAAGAGGGTAATAGGGAGAATTACAAGGTAGGATAGGTCTATTTATAAGTTTTAATTAGTTTAAATAATTTAATTCCAAAGTAAGAATCGGTTAACAGAGGGATTCAACCACCCACACACAAACCCTTAAATTCTAACTAGAACTACTAGAATTTCCTAGTATACCCTCTATAATTAGTATAATTACAGGGTATTAATAGGGTACTTACAGCGGGCTGTTACATTCCCCGTCTCCCCTGCTTAAAACCCCTGTCTGTAGGTACCAAGCTAACGAACTTACTAGGACTAATGTGTACATCCAACCTCAGTTTGATCGGCATGTAGATCTCAAGGATCAGCTTCGGCCTTGGCGAGATTCTGGGTGGTAGTCTCGGTAGTATATAGCACTGCACGTGTACTGCGGTTGCGAGCAAAAGGTTTACCTCCCTGTTAGGTATCTTACACGGACTACCACAGCCAATGCTTCGTGAGCACTGTGTAGTCAACGACCTGGCCCGCGGGTTTAACTTACCCATATCACCATAGTACACTACCTACCTATTCCGGTCGACTCCTAGCGTATTGTACATACACATAGTAAAGACGGCCGCCAACGCCCTTAGTCTAATGTACGGCGGACAGAGGCGGTAGTGTCGGGTAGCGTAGACAGGTTGATAGGTTCATCAGATAGATGAAGGAGGTCCAGTCTCGGAAGGATGGGGCCCGACGTAAAATCCACACAGTACTACTTTTACTTTACTAGTGAGATCGCTGGCAGCGATATTGGGTGGATACCGGTCTGTCCAAAACTCGGGCAGAAACTGCATCGCAGAGATGGAAGTCCTTACCATGCATGCACCATGCGCCAATACGCTTGCGATTGGAGGAACAAACAACCCTGTTTCTTTGAAAAGGCGACCAGGAGACGAACAGACGAAAAAAAATAGAATTCAAGTGTCTTGACGGTCCTCTCGCGCTGCGGTCTAATCGCGAGCACCAAGTAGCTGTGCGCGCCTCCACCCGTATTCCTCCTCTCCCCGTCGGCTATTGTTTGCGTCCACCGTCCACGCTCACGTCCACCGCCCACCGACTGTCTGCTCTTACACGTCCCTGCGTCCGTCATCCCTTTCCTGAACCTTGCTGCCTTCGAAACCACATGAACCACCACACCCAGGATGCTACCTCCCCCATGTGCCCCCTCCGTCCCCGTCTCCGTATCATCCCCGTACTCCCCGTACTCCCCGTACTCCCAGCCCCGCTGTCCCGCCGTCCTCCCCGTCCTCGCCTCGGTGCCTGAGGGGTCGGGGTAGACGCGGAGGAACCGGGATGGAGACTGTGGGCATAAACCATGAGCACATGCAAGTATCCATTACTATGCAGGTGTCGCCCAACCGCATCAGCTTGCTATAGCCTCCCAAAAGGCTGTATATGCATGTATATCAAAACCTCCTATCCAAACCTTAACAGCTTTCCCATTCGTCCGGTCAATGCATTACAAGAAATTACGCCCAAAAAACAAAGCTCTCCGTGATTGCGGAGTCAGGCACTAGTATAGTGATGGTATTTGCTGATCAAGCATGTCGGGGTAATCGCCCAGTTCATCCCCAAAGGTTTAGCACTCTCTTACGCGTGGTTGCTCAGTGTTGTTCCCTAATTTGATGAGCCAGTGGCCGTGAGCTACATGTGGCCAGTTTCTGAGACGGATTTGTTTGAAAGTTGACTCGTCTGCCACTATCCACGAGCATGAACCCAGGACTCCCAGCGTCGTGGTGGCGGCGGTGTGGTGGCGGCGGTGGTATTCGAGGCTTATTGCTTTTAGCTAGTATGTAGTCTAAATGTGTCTACGTCTTCCCTTTGATATCCTCCCGGCAGGTACAAGTCCGTTCTAGTGAGGCTCTGGGAAGCAACTGGGCCAACATGCTTGCCTTCAGCTACTATGCAGTAGTCTCCCTCGTTAGTTAAAGGGTACCTATGCATCAAGGCCTTCCAGGGATTCCCCACGAGATGGCCATTTACCATTGGCTCGAGCGCTATAGCACCTCTGATGCGTCAGCCATTCATAGAGCGCCAATTTGCCATCTGACACACAAGTAACACGGTACGTGCATTCCTTGGGCTCTCGGATTCGCCCGTCGAAACCTTTGGACTCGTATGCGCTTTGGACTGATTCCATCTCAAGGTTTACAAGGCCAAAGCCGTCCGTCTACGCACCACGCCCGTCCTTTCCCCTCTTGGATACTAGCTTCCTCCAGCAGGGCTGGATGGTCTCGAATGTGCACGTACAAGCCCGAGCACCGGTCTCTCGGGTGCAAGTGTACCTGACATAGACACACACTCTAGTTGTATGTACCTCTGTGGATCCGTGTGTGGCCTTCCAGCTGGAATTGTCCCTTCACCCAACTTCGCCAGATTCAACCGTGTATCTGGTATCCTCTTGGCTCAGGCATACCTTGGCGACGTGAGCTAAAGCCAGTCGCGCTCGGCACTACCCACAGCATTTCATGCCCGAGTGGGCAACAGCCCGGTGAACTCCGAGCCCGAAGTGCCCCTTCGGCACCCTTTTGGATTTGAGTATGTACTTCGCCGGTCTACGTACGCGCTACCGTGCTTGCAGTTCTGAGTATTCGCCCTCAAAGCCACTCTGCGCTAACATGGGTCTCCCTTTACCGAGCCATCGCCAGTTCTCTTGAGCCCCGAGCTCCGCTGGCCTTGGAGAAGAAAACCACTCACCACACACTATGCCCCACCAAGCGGTCGCTCCTCGAGTTTCGCTAACCTTTTCCATCTGGCCTTTTCTTACTTTTTCTGTGCGCCTTCCATGCTGAAACCCATTGACCAATTGCGTGCAGCAATCTCTCGAGTTGTTGTATTTCTCGCCCTAGTGGTGCTTGTCCAAATCCAGCGCTAAGAAGAAGACCAGGAACCCTTGCTTCACCCCATCCCTTCCCGGTACCTTGACGCCCTCGTACCCTCCATATTGCTATACACTAGTTTACACTACATACCTGTAAACAACTATGGAGGTCATGCTAAGTAATTACTTACACCGACGAAGGAGAGCGTAACACCATGACGTATCGGACGGCGCCGGCGAGTGCGGTCAGTGCAATCAGAGAGACTGTTGGAGCTCCTGAGCTTCAGACCGAATGCACATCCACGTCTCCGCCTACGCGAAACCACAATGCTAGGTGCTCCAAGTGGCATGGTGCTTCTGTACTTGCGTGGTGATGTGCTTAAGACCTCCAGACTGTTTCGTAACCACGAATCATTATATATTCTTGCTGCTTATAGAACGGCGAGGGAGATCTCTTTGACACTAACAATTCAGTAGCTTCAGGTTCATTCAAGTGTCATAAATCATCCTGCATACTAAGTTACACAAAGGGAAGGCGGCCTTTTTTTCTACACACAGTCTAACCATGCAAACGCCAAAGATGCCAAAAACACCAAAAACATGAAAGAAAAGAAAAAATGACCGAACTCCATCCAAGAGTATATACGTACTCCACCAGCCGATCATGCTATTGTCCGTTCCTCTATAATTCGCTGTGTATGACCGCCCACCAAAAATGATAAAAAACAAACCCACCCCCCCCCCCCCCCCCCCCCCCCCCAAAAAAACCAACATATTGCGCCAGGTGATGCGTTTTTATGAACCGTTGCCCCCGCTAGCCGGTGTAAAGTAGAAGGGGTGCTTGCCCCTCCCACATTTGATAGTCTTGACCCATCCCATCTGCCCCCTTTTTGAGTAGGCGGGACAGGTAGGGATACAAACCGAATAACCCGTAGAAGAAATAAGATAAAGTAGGGACACCCCCCCCCCCCCCCATGCCGGCCGTAAAATGCATTGTTCTTCTCCATGGTCTTCTCTTGGAGATCGAAATAATGGGAAACAAGGTCAGATGCTCCAGAGTTATGGACCCCCAAAAAAATCATAATAATAAACATCCCAACAAAACAAGCCGCTTGCTGTGTAGCTGATGTGTGACGTAAACGCTCCGAGATCTGTGTTTCAAACGAGTTTGCGAAGGCGGGCTGGCCTTCTCACACAAACTGCCTACGCAAATCTGGGGACTGCATAAAACGTTGCGCCTCGTTGGCCTTTGTATCGACGTCGATGGTCGTTGTCTGTATGTGTAATTGCTGTCCAAAGGGTTGGTGTTGTTGTAGCTGTTTTCTCGTAGGCTGCCCGTCCGCGACACGCTGTTTGACCTCAAAAACAGACATTTGTGTCGATATAGCATCAAACCGTAGGCGATTGTGGATAGTAGGTTGATGTGGGGTACATGGACCAGGACTGCTGGGGGAGATAAGAGGATTGCGGCTGTGGAACGCTGGTCGGACAGTATCCGCGGTCTAGGCCGCGTCAGTAAACGCGCGCACACAAGACATCAACCAAAAACCACGGGAGCTACTCACCAGCTTCAATGTCCTCGTAGTTGACCTTCATACCGTCCAGGCAAGAGATTCCCGTAGCTTGACCCATTACAGATGAGTCCATCAAGGAAGAAGGGACGCTTGTGGGGACGTGGCTAGCCGCGTACTCATCAGGATGCCCCGTGGATGACGACGGACTTGAAACCACTGAAGAAACAGTGACTGAAGAGACAGGGACGACCGGAGGCCATGCCTCACAAGGTTCAGGAGTAGGGAGGTAAGATGACCCAAAGCTTGTCGGTGCACCATAGTCCGTGGAGCCTTGGGGGATAGATGCCCCGCGACCTGGAACTGCTGATGGCGAAGTTTGCAGTCCATCTACCTCGTAGCCTTTGGTAACAGTGGGTTAGCCTTTGAGACCATAGAAATGACCACATCAGAAAAAAAAAAAAGAAAAAAAAAAGAAAAAAAAAGGAAAAAGAAAAGGAAAAAAAAAAAAGGAGGAGAAAAGAAAGAAAAGAAAACATCAAAACTAGCTTACCAGATTGAGGAAACGGTCGGTTCCCGATGCCAAGGGCTTCCCTCAATGCTCGTACTTCGTGTTCCAATGCCTTGTTCTTCTGAAGCAGTTCACGAACCATTCCATCGCGGTTCTCCCTTCCCCTTGATTCTTCTAATTCGCGTTGTAACCTTTCAATGAGCTCCTTAGTGCGAGCTCTTATTGCGCGTTGCGCTTCCCGATCATTTGCTCGCTTCCTAGCTAGCTGTGAAGGCGTGAGGGTAGAGACGCTTCTCGTGCCTGTGACCGCAAACAAAGATAAAGTGTCAGGACGTTTTACGGTGGATTTCCCTGAGAGAATGGGTATTCAGCACTCACCTTTCCTCTTCACCGTACCCGGCTTATTGTCCCCGGTAGTGGGAGCAGGAGGAGACCGAGCCATCTTGAGTTAGTGATTGTTGTGTTGATATGGGTAAGTGTACTACGACGTTGGTGTTGTATGTCTATCGATGTTGTCTTAAAGGCCGAATTACTGTTCTTGAATATTTTGTCTTGCTCGAGATGAGAGTGATGAAAAGAAATAGATACGGTTCGTCGTTAGATAAAGCCGGAGCAGGTGGACGGATGGAACCAAGGGAAGCCTCTCGCAGGAAGCCCACTTATAAGAATACAGCACGGCGTTGAAGCGTAGTCTAGGCTGTGATCAGAGATGGCTCCGCCAAAGAGACCAGGATGAACAGGAAGGAACCCTGGTCTTGCTAGGTCTACAAGTACACACTTCCACTCTTCAAAGGTGACCTTCCAAAGGTGGGGAAGGTGGTCAAGGTGGTTTGAAAGATCGGGATCAGAGGAGTATGGACCAGAAGCCCCAGTCTGTGCGCCAGATGCTTTGGGCTGTTGCTTCCACTTTCCATTCCCCAGTTGGTTTCGGAGACTTGGGGACTAGACATTGGGGTCCGGGCCACGGACGAACTGACGGGGGCGAGGCGGATGGTGCTCTAGGCCGGTCATTCCTCCGCCAGCCCTCCTCTCCCGGGCCTGAGCGGTCCCAGAAGAGACACGCGGTAGAGAATGGCTAACCCCCAGTGCTCTCAAACTCTCGCATCTTGTATAACGCCTTTATATAATGATGTCCCCTGTTAATGCTAACCCCCGCTTGTTCCAAGGCTCCTTTTTTGCTAAGGATTTTGACTACCTACTTACGTTGTCCCTAGTAGTTGAGACTGCTATTTGCTATTTATATTACTAATGGTATAAACTAGTAATAGGTAAGAATATTTATACTTATTAATATCTGGAAGTCTAGTAGCTCTAAGTTACTTCTTTTTGAAATTATAACTATTTTACCTGATTTTTAAAGTCTATACTTAGTTTATCTACAAGTAATCTCTCTTATTAGAAAACAGTTAATAATCCAAATTGATTATATTAAGAAATAATTTTATATAGTACTATTTAGTAGAGTAACTAGCTTATATATATATATATATATTATCTTAGTAAATTTCTACTACTATTTACCTATTTAAAGATATTAATAATTATATTTAAGCTACTATTAGCGAATATATATTTTATTTAAATATTTAGATAAGTTATAATCATGAAAACTATATTATAAAGCTTGGTTATAAATACTTACTGGTTATATTATTGGTATTACTATAATATAATAGTATGATAGTAAATATACTAGCTACTTTAAGAAATTAAATTGATAGTTTAAAATACTTTATCTTTTTATAAAAATATAAACCTTTTATAAAGTAAGCTAATATTATACTATAATATATTGTTACTAGTTAATAGACACTCTCTAGTTATTATAGTATTAACATATAATATTATTATACTATATGCTGCTATATTAGGGCTATTAGTAGCTCTGATTATACATAGTTCCACGTGTGTATACGTATATAGACTAGCCTAGTCTAGACTCTCGCTTATATAGCTAGTCCTCTATATACACTTTCCCTTCACCTTCTTTATATTATAATATATATCCTACCTTACACTTAATGGTACTCTGTTACCCTATAATCCTAGTTAATAAAACTCTTTAACTTTATCATTATCATTATAGTAACTACTAAGCTAATGCGGGCTCGCTAATTACCTAAATATATTTAGGAGCTCTATTTATATATCTTAAAAATACTACTTATTCTTACTTATATAAGTTAAAATACCACGTTTATAATTGTTATAGTTGCTCAATTATTCTTATAATTATACAAATTAATAATCCACTTTATAAGTTCAATATAATTCTACTTTATAATAATTTATATAATAATATTCTGCTATACTACTAAGATAATATATTTATGATTAAAATATAGTAAATAGATATTTATACAGCTTATATAGGTTTATATAACTTTTTATATATTTTGTAGTATATTAAATTTATATATCGTTCCAACTTCCAACTTTATTACTATATGGTAATATAATATTACAGTATAAAACGTGATACTATAATACTAGTATATAAAGGTAATATAGCTATTATAAGCTAGATATACCTTCTAGTTAAATATATAAGGTAGTTAGCTATTAGTAGCTATTTTAGTACTATAATGAAGTAAATACTATAATATTAGTATTCTAGTATATAGTAATATACTCCAATATTTATTAGCAAATAAACATTATTCTACCTTTTACTAAGCTAGGTTTAGCCTAGTAGTTATATATATTACTACCCTATCATAAGTACTAAATATATTATTTAAAACAAAGTATATTTATATCAATATAGCGTTTAAACTATGTCTCTAGTCTTAATATTTTTAGTACTTTTAAATACTTATATATTCCTTTTAAATATTTACTTATTATATCTGTAGTAATAATACTAGTGTAGAATTATTAAAAATAAATAACAAACAAATTAATAAATATAATATAATATTCCAACAAGCCTAAAGTTAAATGATATAATTATACTATTATAATAATTAATGTTATAGAGCTGACGCCTAAGGTATTTGCCTAGCTGGCACTTAGTGTAAGCTAGGCGTGCTCTCTAGTTGGGTGTATTGGCTAGACAGTTGTTAGCAGCCGTTATTGTACCAAATGCACTACGTACTATTAGGTATATCCCTCAGGGCGCCGCACGGGCTACATTTCTAACTTTAGTTCTTCTAACACTTTTAATACTTACGCTTCTTATATATTTAACTGTCGGCTCCATGCCAGCTATATTAGCATAGAACTTTCTCCTCTTTATTAAATATTCTAAGCTCTTTTCAAGACCTACTTATATATATACCTTGTAGATCCCTTCTAGTTATTTAGAAAAAAGTATAAAATACTACTAACTAAGATATATTATACTACTAGAAATATAATATATAAATTACGTATTTAAAATACAAGAATTACAGCTATATAAAAGGTAATGAAGTATAAAAGTTTTATAAATATATTCTATAAAATATATACTATTATTATAATTATGTTTATATTTAGAGAATTTAACATCTTAGCGGTTTTGAACTATAATTGTTATAGGGCTAGCGCTTGAGGAATTGGCTTGGCTCTGCCAAGCCGGGTTCGTATCTTATCGATAGGGATGCGAGCCTTATAGTTGGCCAGCTCACGTATTTGCCTAGCCCGTACGCCCGACTATAAAACCTTCTTTCGACTGCACTCTTCTAATATAGTCTTCCCTTGCTCTCCTTATTAAATATAGCATTTCAACTATTACACGACTGCTTGCTATGTAATACTCTAGCAGACCTATTACAATAATATGTACATTTTACAAAATTTCTACTTTTTACAAAGAGTATAAGTAACTGCTTTCTCTTACATTTATTTAAGAGTAGTTATATAAGAGGTTAAAGATATTTATATTTTTAAAAATCTCTTCAAATCTTAAAATATCATAGGTCTACTGGGTATATATAATAATAGGAGTGGAATAGAACTTAGAATTATTAATAAGGAGAAAAAAGTCTACAGGCCAAGTCTGGTCTTTAGAGGCATAGTTATATATTAGAATAAATAGGTAACCTAAAGCACTAGCTAAGTAAAGTGCAACTAAGCTTGCAGGCCCAGTCACTCTATCTGAGCACTAGCCTCTTATATAAGATATAGTTTAGTATTATCTAGTTTATACTTTATAAATATAAAATGGAAAATATATTAACTAATAATAAACTATCTTCATTTATTAACATTTTATATAAGAGGAGCAAGTATATATAAGAACTTTATTAGAAATCTATGCTGTAGGCTGTCCATTTACTAAACTTTCTTATTTACTAGCACTCTCTTCCTAGGTATTTAGGCACCCCTAGTTTTCATTTCTCTTCTTCTATTAAATAACTCGAGATTTAAGCCCTTTTTGTTGTTATTATTACAGCCTCTGATAAACTTCACTATATGTGCAGGCTTGAAACACAGTGCCTTTTGCATTTCTCTACTCGAAAAGTCATTTTAACCCAACGTCCCTACTACGTAACTGCGTAACGTCAGTGCGCGAAGGGCTAGACTAGTGTAGACTACCCAAAGACCGAAGCCCGAGCCAATATCCCCTTAAAGCGACGAAAGCGGCTACAAGAAGTGGGAAAGGAGGCGAGGTATTGGAGAAACGGATCGAGCACTATCTGGTATGTTTTGGTGCAAATATGAACTTTGTCGCACACCCCGGGGACCCACGCTTTCCATCCTGTCCGAGGTCCGATGGGATACGTTTCGAGACTTAGGGGCCACTTGTTAGGCAGTTGAGCATGTCTGTCGGAAACGCACGGGCGTGGGACAGCGATATAGCTTCAGCAAACAGCATGGTAGCGTGTTGAGAAGAGTTTGCGCGCGGTGAGAGTATATAGTTGAGACCTTACTAACCCATGTAGTGCATGCGCTCAGTTGCAAGCACAGAACAAACAGGCACTAATTAGAGGCAGTATCGACCCCACACGTTGCAACATCATTGATCTGCTACACGCGGTTAGGACCATGCGGAGATCATCGGTAGTAGAAGACCGGTGTGAATGGCATCATACCTTCTGAAACCATTCCTCGACCTCGTAGTCCCCACCAGCACGGAGGTCACGGTGGAAAGATAGTGTTAATCTGCAATAGATCGTCTTCAGTGCTCATACTTGTTGGTTCTTACCCAGAATTCCAGACGAGGCACAACCTCGCAGTGAGTTGGCCAAGCCACGACTCGGCAGTTTGCCTGAACCATCCATCTCCTCAAGAGTGTAACCAAAGGTTACTGTTCCGAGGGACAAGCCATGGGCACGGCCCGGGTCATCAATATCCTCCGCGAGGTTTTCTCTTTATGTTGAGCTTGCATCGACAGCGCTTACAAGATCATCCATTCCGCCTACCTCTGTCGGTCCGGTCATACCACTCGGAGGTAAGGCCCAGGCGGGCAAGGGGCTCACATAGCTCCATGCTCCATCAGCATCCTCATATCTGAGACTGTGAAGCCAGAGCGAAAGCTCTTGCTCGCCAGGATCTGTATAGAGCGGTGTCCGGCAAACGTCACAAAGTTGGCCAGACATCTTTTCCGCCTTCTTCCTATGGTAGTTGTCCACCATCTCGTCATAATAGGCAACCGCATCAGCAATGTCCTCTTTGCCCATCCGAGAGAGACGGGAGATGATATCCTCGTCACTGTTTCGAGCTGCGTCGGCATCGTTACGGCCGAGATCAAACCCCCAAACCTTTTGATTGGCATAGATCGGGTCATTCTGGATGGGGTGACCTAAAAATTGGAGATGAACCCGGATTTGATGAGTCCTTCCGGTAACGGGAAGACAGCGGACAATGGAATATCCCTCTCCTTCGCCCCTCCTCTGCGCCGCTTGCTCTGGGTCCGGCATAGCCGGTTGTTCGGTCTGACCCTTGGTAGGAGGGTCAACGGGAGGATAATAGGCCAGGCGCTTGAAAACGGTTCGAGCCGCCTTGCCGTTGGCGCGCACACGGTTGAGGGTTAGTTTGGGGGAAATCTGAAGGATGGGTTGATCGCAAACCACTTCACCGTCGGGAAACCTGCCAACAACCCTGGCGATGTACTCCTTGCGGACACTGCGTTGAGAGATTTGAGCAACGAGACGCTCGGCCGCGTGCTGACTTTTGGCAAGAAACATGATACCGCTGGTGAGCCGGTCAAGTCTGTTGCAAGGACGCGGTAAGAAACCAGGTCCCCTCTCGGACTTGATAATCTCGACAACGGAATTGTAGTTGTAGCGGCCAGCGGGGTGGACGGGGACACCGGACGGCTTGTTGATAACAATCAGATCATTGTCTTCGTGAATCACGCGAATGGGCTCGGCTGTGACGGGAGGCTCATGACGGTGAGTGGTATGGGAGATGAGGTCACCATTTTTGAGGACGTGTTCGGGACCGACGGCCTTGCCATTGACGACAACTAGGCCGGTCTCAACGGCGTTACGGTAATACTCGGCCGGCCGGTCCCGGAATTCGACCTCAAATATTTCCATCAGCTTGCGACCGCGCCAACGCTCCTTGCACCACGTGTTGTAGGTGTAATGGTACGGTACGACGCGGCGAAGGCCATCTTCGACATAGTAGGGCCGGGGCCAGGGATCAGACGGAGTGATCGCAACAGCGGGAGGTTCAGCGGCCGGAGATATGATCACCGCATCCGACACTTCAACAACCGACGTGGGGTTGGGGGTAAGGGGTGGTGTTTCATTGTCATTGACGAGTCTTGTCGCGACTGTGGCCGCCATCTTCTGTCTCGTGCCTGAGAGCAATCGTGACAGCGATGTTATCGATACGAATGGCGCGAGCAATGCAGCAGCGGTGGAGCGACAAGAAGCCAGGGTGGCGATGGCTTACTTGGTTGTCGACAGACAAGACAGTAAAGGGAGGATGGAGGGCCGGATCTCCAGCAGGACGTAATGAATCGGACGTGATGGTGTTGTGTTGTCTTAAGTGTAGGTAAACGGAAGAAATTCCCTTCGGAGGATGTACGTACAGAGTAGTGCTACCCAGTTGGTGCAATAGCCTGCCTGATAGTGTTAGCACACAAATATAACACACCCGCTTAACGTTAATATCGACTACAAACTTTGCTATTGCGGGGCTTCAGTTACCCCATTTTTGATGCCGTATAGTAAAGTCCCCTGTTAATGCAACTAAAGCCGGCAGCCAAATTTCTTTGTAAAAGGGGGGGTTTTGCAAAAGAGGGAGCTGGTGCACAGACCAGTACAGGCTGTGGGGCTACTAAATCACGCCGCCGGCCACCTAAAAGGAGCGGGGCGGATAAAGTGACCGTGTGCCTCAATAATGTGACCGCATACTAACTAGAAGGGGCTATCCTATACAGTATATTAGTAAATGCCAGCCACACTAAAATTGTACAGCAGGCAGTATGAGTATATATCCCTAATATATTTACGAAATTAAATACGTACCTTACAACACACCTATACCTTATCGTTACTATCGCTATTCTATTACCGTAGTGTTTATTATTATTAAAATACCCTACTTTAATTACCTTATTAACCCTTTAAGTTTACTACTAGCGTAATTAATCTAATTAGCGCTCCCTCCCCGCTATCCGCTATAAGTTAAATTTCTAGTAATAAGGGTAATATTAGTAAATATCCTTTATAATTATATTACTTTTATAAATAGAAGTGGTTTAATTATAAGATTCTCTTTTGTAATATTAATATTACTATTAAAGTTGAAGGGTTTAATATTACGGTCAATTGTAATAATAATAAGGTCGATAGTATATATATTCGGTATAATTTTATATACGGCGAGGGTAAAAATAAATATATTGGCTATACCTCTAAGGGTATCTATAATACTTCGAAGTCTAGTAAGAAGGGTTGTGAATGGAAGGTGAAAGCCGTAAGATATAAGAAGTTCGGCGGTATTTGGAAGTTCGATTATAATTAATATTAATATAATTATGATTTGAATTTAAATATTGTAAGGTATTTATTTAAGTACTATCGATTTAAGAGGAGTCTTTAAATTATAGAAAGTATTTTTAAGTATGGGAAATAATTTAAAAATATATTTAGGGATATTACCGTTACTTTATAAACCGATTTTCTAAAAATTAAGATTAGGAATTGCAATATATTAAATATATTAGCCGCTATTAAAGTTATAAAGGTAAGCGTGTTTACCCTTACTTAATAGTTCTTCAATTTTTTATAATCGGACTCCGTAGTATTTATAAAGTTTTATTATAAGAGTAATAGTAATGAGTTTAGTATATTAGATAGTAATAGGAATAAAGGAAGTAAGAAGCGTAAATTTTTTGTATATAATAATAACCGTCCGATTAATTATATATTCTGGACGTACGATTAGTGCGTTAATTAGTAGAGGAACAATTTAGAAGTATAGTTTTTAAACTGTATTTGTAAAGTAAATTAGTTCGATATACTTCTATTATAAACTTATCGTATAATTTGTATATATACCATATTTAATATTGGGTATTATTTATTAAACGGCTAGAAGAAGAAATTATTTTATTAAGTTCTATACGTCTTTGAGAGATTGTTTACTAATAAGAATATTGCTAGATTGAGTGTAATAGTTGAGACGCCCTTGCTTTCAGAGCTTGCCCGGCCATTGTCGTAGGCCCGAAAGGTGACATAGAAGATCTATACTAAAGGTCGTAGTTTATAGGCCTACTCTAACGCTGTAAGCGAAGAAGGCGCGGCGTATCTATCTATAATAGGCTAGAATGCAGAAAATTACCCGTCTTGGCGCGTGCTTGGCAGGCCCAAATAGGAAAACTTAGCGCTAAGTAGGACACGGTTTGAATAGCAGCTCGAAAAAGCTACTTTTTCCTTTACAACGGAAATTCCTCCTCTATTGTCGCGTACATCGAAATAGACATGCTGTCAGAATGACGAGAAAGAAAAGGCGGTCATTTTAGTACCGGTTGCATTGTAGTATACGCGATGGTTATTGAGAAAAAAACAAAAGAAATTAAAAATAAAGATTTTAGTTGCGACCGTAAGGTCCTAGAAATGACCAAGTCCCAGAAATGACCAAGTCCCAGAAATAACCAAGTCCCAGAAATGACTAAGTTCCAAACTATACTATTAACCCTAAAGAGCTAGGGGGGTTAGGGTTAGGGTCCAAAATGGAAAATTCTGGAAAAGAGAAAAAAATAAAAAAAAAATTTTTAAAATTTTGCCTTCGAGTTTTTTTTTTTTTTTTTTCTTTTTTCTTTTTTTCATTACCCTTTTTTTTCAAAGGTTAATGATATAAGGAAAAAAACTCGACAATTAATTTAAATAACTATTACTTATTGGAGAGGGGTCCAGGTTCCTGTCGGGTCTCCAACTCTGCTCCACAGAGTTGGCGACAAAACCACCAGACACGACAAAACCCAAACGGACAGCAAAAACGACCCACTTGCAATAGGGATTTAATATAGGAATTAATTACACAACCACCACTTGGTCAAAACTTGTAAAAACTTAGGAATAGATTAATAAGTAATAAACTAACCTATTAATAATTTTTATTCAAAATACAGTTTCCTTGGCCGGAGCCTGGATATGGCCAAGGAAGACAGAGAAACGCCCATGTTTGTAAATATTTAGGAAGCGAAATATTGGATCTATATTAAATTTGGATATACCTAATTAAATCCCTTTATTAAGACGGGAAGTATAGGAAGTACGGGAAGGTTCTTAGCAATTTAAATTCGTATTTAAAGGCACAACACTAGCCAAAACATCACTAGATCTAACCCCTTCCGCGAATCTTTCTATTATTTTACTTATAAACCCGATTAAATTTAGTAAACACGCTCAAAACGCTCCAATTAAACAATATAGTCTACTTCCAACTACCTTACTATTACTAGCCCTACCGGGGGTACTATAGGGATACCCGTAGTATAACAGTTAAGGGAATACTTATAATTACTATTAGTATAAATCTAAAGAATTTGCATATTTAATTCCCTATTTATACCTTATTTCTTCTTTAAATAATTAATTATTATACTACTAACCTCTCTTAGATCCTTCTCATCTTCCAATCTTCTAATATTAATTATATATAGGCCGTTTCCGGGGAAATAGGAGATATAAGACCGTTGTAAGACGTACTATTTTTCGGTGCCGTTAATGGTTGCTTTGAAAAAGGGTATACTATAAAGTATTTGATTAGGGTGCGTGGAATAAATTGAGTTGAATTCCTTTCTTTTTTTTTTTTTTTTAAAGCCGGTAGTAAGATTTAACTATCTAAATACTAAATTAGAATAATCTAAATTATAATTAATAATGAGAGTGATATATTGTTTTGGCCGGATGGAGAGAGAAAGTTATTTAATGGTAGTAGTCTTCTTATAAGGAAGTTCATTTGTGGTTAGTAATATTATTTTAGTACTAATCTAACTTTTAGTAATAGTGTATTAGCGTTTGATAGTAAGTAAATTATAGTATTCTTCTTCTTCTTTTAATATATTATTAAGGTACTATTCGAATTCGAGATTGTTATTTTTAAAGATGATTAATATAACTAATAGTTAATAGTTAATAAAAGTAATGAAAGAGATAGAGAGAGAGAAATTGAGAATTGTAAAGATTTTAATAATATATAATGGTTATTAATATGGAGGGTGCGCTTCGTGTTTATTATTATATTTATCTATTATAGTAATAATTACTTTTACTAATTTATCCTCCTTTTAATTGCGGCGGTCTATTACTAGTATTAGTATTCTTGCGAGGTCTTCTATAGGGCCTTCCTCTTAATTTAGCTCTACTAGAAGGAGTTATACTGCTAGTTCTTGAGCTAGTCTTTAATCTAGTTCTATTGCCGGGCGGTTTACTACGTTTTAATCTAGATTTACCGCGGGGTCTACCACGTGCTCCTCTTCCCCGGGGCGGCCGGCCGTTATTAGTATTATTATTATTATTATTATTATCGTTATTAACGTCCCCCGGCCCGGGAGGGAACTAGTACCTTCGATTTATAGTTAGAGGACTACCCGGGTTACGGATATAATATAACGGTAATAGATAGCCGGGATGTAATTATTAAAGTATACGTTTAGTTATATCCGTAGTTCTGTATATGTAAATTTTAGTATTTTTTACACGTAAAACATTAATTTCGAAACTCTTATTAAATATAATGCCTTTAATCGTACGGGTACGGGATATAGTTATATATAATAGTCTAGCTATAAAGTCCTTTTTGGAAATATTGTAAATAACTTTGTTTAATATTTAACCCTACGCTTTATATATAGTAATAGTATATATAATAATTAAAGGAAATTGAATTCCTTTGTAATTGTAAGTTCTTTTTAAAAATTTTTAAATAGACCGGAATATAGGTATAGTATATTTAGAGTCTTCAATATTAGAGTAATTTAAGTCTTTAAAGTAATTGGATCTTTAATAGTAATTAAAATATATTATAATAATAAAAGGGGGGTCGCCGGCTTTAGGGTATATATTATATATCTGATTACTATCCTACGCAATATTAATAACCGTACTAATCGAATTATTAATAAAGCTAACTTCAATTTAGAGATTTTCGGTAAATATAATTCTACTACCCTTAATGTAAGTAAATTTGCTATACAAATTATTAATATTAGTATACTTAACGTTTTTAATATTATTGGGTTTATTAGTAGCTTTAATAATAAAAGTTAGGTTTTTAAACTATTTTAAATATTTAAAGTTATATTTATTAATTATAATATTAATTAGGTAAATTTATAAAGTATTATCGAATTCAGTTTAATTGGGTACGGATAATTTAAATTTAATATAGTTAATTAATACCTACTAATTTTAAATAGTAGGGTTATTATTTTGTAGTCCTTCTAAAATTTTGCGAAAGTCTTTTTATTTAATATTTTATTAATTGAGAATTTACTTTAATTTAATACTCTAATTAAAATTAAAATAATAAATTCGACTACTATATTAAACTAAGTCCAATTTACCTTCTAAGCGTTTCCTTTTTTATTCTTTAATTTTATTAGGAAGACGGTTTAAATTATTATTTTCCCTAAGTACTTTAAGAGGAGTATTAGGGTTATTAGCGAATTTAAGGGGTTCTTAATAAAATAGAGCCTTTTGCCCAATAAGTGCTAATTAAAAGAAATCCCTAAGAAGAAAGATATTAACACCGCCGAACTATTTCCTTTAATTTTTAACAAAAGTTTAACGAAGGCGGGTATTAATATAATATATAATTCTTATACCCAGTATAGACTTTTTATTAATAATAAAATACTTATAAAATTTTAATTTATTTTAAATATTAATTAAATTGGCATTTTGTGAATTAGTTAACCCTCCAATATTGAATAGAAGCTGTAAAAGAAAATAGAAGGTATAGCTGTTAATATTATTAATAGTAATATTAATAAGCGTAGTACGAATAATTAATATTAGAAAGTTGTATATAAAAGCTATTTCAGTAAGTTTGTAAAATAATAGTTAAATAAGGTGACATTTCTTAGTACTATTACGGCCGTTAATTTAAAGAAGTAATTGATTTAGAGCTTAGCTATCGAATATTGTTTAGTAGTAGTTGATAAATTAATCGAATACTATATATTATTTAGTATTAAGGGTATTATATATATATTGAATAATAGGTTTTAGGTTAAGAAGGTTGAAGGTATTGCAATAAGATTTCTAATAATTGGTAACTAAAGGAAGGAATTCCTGGAACCTAATATAATTGTTATACTAATTATAGTTAAAATCGATGTTACGGCGACTAAGAATTTCGCTATTAAAATCGTTATTATTAGGATTAATATAGCGGTTGGGGTTATCTCTATAATTAAATTATTAATTAATTAAGAATTAAAGAGGTAAGGAATATAATACTTACTTTATAATTTCTTTCTAACTAAATTTATCCAGTTCCTCTTGTTAATTAAGTAGTTCAAACTCTTCTTCTAGCTTAATATCCGGGAGTTTGCTGTAATAATTATTAGGGTAATTTAATTTATTAATATACTACTTATAGTAAGCTAAATAAATATCCTCTAATAATTTATAGTAAATACTATTAATAATATAAATATTAGCCGGATATTAATAAGGATAATACAATATAAGTTTAACCCGAATGAAATTTCGCTAATTATTTTTATACTTATAGATAGGGAAATAGTTGATTACCCTTTATCTCGCACGATCTATTAAAAGTTTAGGACGTAAATTAGTATAATTGAATTTAATAATAAATTTAAAGAAGGATATTTAAGTATAGTGTTCTTCTCGATTTATATACTTTTAATAAATTAAATATATTTACCGAACTTCGTTGGCCGTATTAATATAAACACTACCTTTACCCTTATTATTATTACTACTAACTACGGCTATAGTTACTCTTCCTCCTTTGGAATTATAAATAATAATACTTCGGTTATTTTGAGGGCGATAATTTATTATAACTACTATATAGGAACTTTTATAAAGAGGAAGGTTTAATAGTAAATAGTAGACTTCTTGAATTAATTAGTCCCTTTTAGTAATAAATTTATTTATAAATTTAGTTATAAATTATTTAATTAGATTTTTAACTGTAATTTAAGGGATAATCTTTATTATAATTTTATTATAAAATTTAATATACTTCTTAGTTTTAGCAATGTATTTAATTATGTAATTTAAAATAGTATTTATATTAGTATATAGTTAAATATCGGTGTTGGTTATCTAATTTAGGGTAATAAGGGGGTTATACTAATTGAGGATGTTATTATTTCTTTGGCCGTCGAATAATTAGAATTTAGGGTTAATATAAATAGTAAAGAGAGGGTATTTATAAAATTTCCTAGTAAAATAAAAGCGGTAAACCTTTTATTCCGGGATAGGGAGTTTGAAATTTAGGATTT